CTAGCTTTTGAGGGGGTTTTCCTCTCTGCATCAGACAGTAAATAGTCTTAGGGTTATTAAATTGTAAAGTTCAATTGTGCAAGTGTTGAAAAAGTTATACATATGTGTTTAGGGGCAAAGGTTATGAAATTGGAGGAATATTTTGCTATTCACCGACTTCTTATTCTTAAGACAGCTTGCAGAATCTTTTATATATTGTGCCTGAGAAGATGCCATAGTATTTCCAATTATGACTTAATTTGTTGGTTTAAAGAACAGAAGAAGGGATGTTAATTCTAAAGTGTTGGGACTGACCTGGTTGCTCAGTATAGATAATGGTTGGTTTTGCTTTGTTTCCTTAAACACAAACTTTGAAGCTTGTCTCTACTGCAGATACAAATGCCGTGGACCAAGTGACTTGGTCCATGTCCTAGTTTTCATCCCATAGGCGGTATGTCTCTGCTTTCTCAAGAGAGACCCTAACTTGAGCCTTCCCAAAATTATCTAGCTATGAAGCTTTTTTTTTTTTAACAGCTTTATTGGTTTCACATGTCTACATGTATTATGAACTCAAGCCTCTCCACTAAAAAGAGTTAACTATAGCTGAAAAGATGCAACATTATGGCTTTGTCTACACTGGCCCCTTCTACGGAAGAGGCATGCTAATTTCTAACTTTGGAATAAGGAAATCCGCGGGGGATTTAAATATCCCCCGCGGGATTTAAATAAACATGGCCGCCGCTTTTTTTCCGGCTTGGGGAAAAGCCGGAAAAAAAGCGGCGGCCATGTTTATTTAAATCCCGCGGGGGATATTTAAATCCCCCGCGGATTTCCCTATTCCAAAGTTAGAAATTAGCATGCCTCTTCTGGAGAAGGGGCCAGTGTAGACGTAGCCAACAGGATTTAGTTAGGGTAGAATTCATTCATATACTAATGGAAAATAAACAAATACTGTGCACCAGTTACACATGCTTGTTTTAAAATTGCTTTTGTTACCATCTGTTTGCTACCCCAAAATTCTTTTCAATGTCATTGTACATAAAACATTTTCCACTAAATAGCTACAGTATAGTGGACATTATATTACAAGCCTCATCTACTAAGCAAATATTTTCTTCAAAACTGTAATTACTTTGAACATGCTATAATCACAAGATAATACCAGCTCAGCCATATATATGTAAGTCTGAGAGAGCTTCATTTATCTGGAAGCAAAGGTTTGGCGTCAGGAGAAGTCAATGTTACAGTCTAATCTTTGGTGTATTGTTTCACTTTGAACTTAAATGCTTTACACCACATTCACAGCCTTGAATTATTTGAGATATTTCTGATACAAATCTTTAGCTTGCTGTCAAACAATATTCCTGGGATTTCATATATATTAAATTCTTAATTTTGACCAGTAGAAATTTAAAAAAAAATCTCTCCTTTATCTGTGTGAAAGACTCACTGATAGCATTAGGTTAAAACATTCTTACACATGCTATTTTTAAATTGCTAATACTCCTTTCAAAAAGACACTAATAGCTTTTCTCAAAAGGATTTATAAACTGGGTAGATTACATGTTTTTTCTCTGAAAATTTTCTTTTGTCACATTTATAATTGGTATTGCATCAGATTTTCACAGAATACTGTAACAGATTCTTAAAGCAGTGATCACAGTTCAAGTAGAATATGCTTAGTGAAAGATAGAATTGTTAAGAAATAAGGTGACCGTTTAGCCATTTCTGTTCGTAACTCTTGTGTTGGTTGAGTATGCTTCAAATAAAACTGTTACTCAGATGCATTAATAGACTTGAGAGGATGTAGGTATTCTGCATGCATCACTTGATTCAGACATCTGATCGAGAATGTTTAATGAATGGAGGATTCACTATGACTGCGTTCTCCCTTTAGTTTGTATTTTAGTTAAACCTGAGAACTTTTGAAATTAAAGTTGTTCTAAAAACACCAGACCCTATTACTTGCATTATCACCAGCACAAAGTGACATGTTCATACCAGCTTCTATCTGCTTGATAGCCGAATACCCCAAAACCAGCTGAGGATTGCACTTATGAGAAATATATCAGTACATTTGAAATTTATTAGACTGTCCACGTTTTTTATAATTTTAAATTCTTTTCATTAGCTTTTGAATTTGAGATTTTTAAAAGCTAATGAAAAGAATTTATTCTCTCAAATTAATACAGAAAAGCCCACACAGATAACAGACTTTTCACACAAGTGACAAAGCTGGTCTGGAGCCTAACATCTTTAACAGTATCTGTTTATGGGAAACGTACAGTTCCAATGCTCGCACAATTGTTCTTTATACTGTAGTTCTCAGTGTAAGTGCTTGAGTACAGATACACTAAAGGTTGAATCTCTCTGGTCCAGCAATATTTGGGGTCTGGCATGATCTTAGTTAGCTAAATGTCCACTTATCATGCGTATAACCAAGTTTCCTGCAGTCAAATAAAATTTGTTTACAGCCACCAGTCCTGGCTCTCCACGTTCTGTGCTTTTATTTTGCTCTAATTTACCTCTAAATGTCTTCAAGAGTCCAGTAAACAGTGGAAGTGTTGCTAAAGCTGCTGGACAATATTGATGTCCTGTGGTCCGGCAAATTCTTTGGTTTGGCTCCAATCAAGTTGCAAGGGTGCCGGACTAGAGAAGTTCAACTTATACATTATCAGCCTGGTTGTGATTCCTGTACCTTATAGCAGTAATTATCATATTCAGCTTATAAAACTGCTAGCAAGTTTGAGTGAAGCTGTGGTGGTCATATATTTGGCAAAAGAATTGATGCTTTCTTAGTTGCATTTGTAACCACCTGGAGGCAAAACTGAACCTGGGATTTCTAGAGCTTAGTGTAGGAGCCTCTACAGCTTGACCTATAAAGCCCAACATGTTCTCAGCTTATTCTGTAGAGATCTCACTCCTTACAGTGAGAAATAAGTGATCTAAGTGCCACTACATGGGACAGTGAATTACACCCACTAGGTGTGTGGGTTACACATTAAAAACTGTATTTCTTGATTCAAAAAACAAACATTTCATTTGCTGAACTTGAAAAAGTATGTGGGGATATATTGTATACATACGTTCATATTCCAGCTTGTCACAATGTTTGTTCAGCTTATTAATAACAATATGATAAATTCTTTACAAGGGTTTACTTTTTCAGTGGTACGGATTGTACTTCCCTTAACTGGGACTCTGTGGTCTGGCAGCATCCAAACCATGGATGTTCCTGGACCACAGAGCCCAGGTATAGGGAGGTCGGGCCGTGGGGCAGGAATGGCAGGGGTGCAACTCAGCTGGGAGCCCCGTGTGGGGGCAGGACGCTGGCAGGTGCAGGGGATCCTGTCCCCTCTGGCACCCTGTCCCCTGCTACAGAAAACCCTGTCCTCCTCTCCCCTGCCCCCAGCTACAGAACCCTGTGCCCTACCCCCCACCCTCTGCACCCTGTCCCCTGCTGCAGAACCCTGTCCCCCACTAGTACCTTGCCTTCTGCTGCAGAACCCTGTCCCCTGCCCTCCCGGCACCCTGTCCCCTCTCACCGGCCGCAGAACCCTGTCCCCACAGGCACCCTGTCCCCTGCCTCCTGCTGCAGAACCCTGGATCGTCCCCTGCCCTCCCGGCACCCTGTTCCCTCTCTCCAGCCGCCGACCCCGGTCCCTTGTACTTTGCAAATGGTACAATGTGGGGCACTGTAAAAAACTAAACAGTAAAAATAAATGTAAATGAGTAATGATTAGCATTGTCAAAAACTAGGTACAGTTGAGCCAAATGCTGTGCGTGTATTTTCACATAACTCATGTAACAAACCTCAGTCCTCACCTAAAGAACCCCAGCTGTTCCTGTTTTGGATTCTACTTGAGAAACGATTACCAGTCATATCAAGGTGTGGGTTAGTTCTGTGGAGACAATAGGCCTCTGTAGTGAAAATATGTCTCTTTCCAGCTTTGGAAGACATGTAGTGGTAATGATAGGAGCTGGGGATGCATTAAGAAAATAACATCATAATGGATTTCTGTAGCTATTTCACTAAAGAATGTAGTTTTCAGCCAATTTTAAAAGAGATGTTATGGATCCAGTACTTTACAGTATTTTTAAGTTTATAAACCTGTTATCTTTGCAATGCCCTAAGGAAATGTGGGCAAAAAGTATGTGACAGTGCCTATTAAGTTGTCTAAAAGCCTGACAGAGTAATATCTTAAATTCCAGGGCTACGTCTAGACTGGCATGATTTTCTGGAAATGCTTTGAACGGAAAAGTTTTCCGTTAAAAGCATTTTCAGAAAAGAGCGTCTAGATTGACACAGACGCTTTTCCGCAAAAGCACTTTTTGTGGAAAGGCTCCCGTGGCCAATCTAGATGTGCTTTTGAGCAAAAAAGCCCCGATCGCCATTTTCGCGATTGGGGCTTTTTTGCACAAAACAAATCCCAGCTGTCTACACTGGCCCTCTTGTGCAAAAGTTTTGCGCAAAAGGGACTTTTGCTCAAACGGGAGCAGCATAGTATTTCCGCAAAAAGCACTGATTTCTTACAGTAGGAAGTCAGTGCTTTTGCGGAAATTCAAGCGGCCAGTGTAGACAGCTGGCAAGTTCTTCCGGAAAAGCGGCTGATTTTCTGGAAAAACTGGCCCATCTAGACACAGCCCAGGAGTTTTTCAGAACTCCAGAGATATCCCAGAAAAACTCTCCTGCATCCAGGGATGCGGTTGTTCTTCTACTTTTTTTTATTATTCCTCCTTCCACGAGGGGGCTTCCAAAAGAAGGGTTTTTTCTGACATTTGGTCCAGTCTAGACAGGTCAAATGTTGAGAGAACCTCTTCCTACAGAAGAATTGGAGGGGAAAAAAAGCAGCAGTGTAAGGGTTGGGGATAACAAGTGATGGAGAGGAAGAGAATAGAGAGAGCGGGGTAGGGCTTCAAGGAAGGGATGGAGTCTTGGGGGAAGGATGGGGCGGTAGATGTTGGCTTGTTCTGTCATTTAAAAAGTGATCTTGGGTGTAAAAAGGTTGGAGACCACTGCTGTAGAGTATTTGAATTTTAAAATTGCAACATTGCACAGTATCCAGCCAGAAAAATAGGGTGTCTTTCTGACAAACACCCCTTTGAGCTATGTGCTCGTATCCCCCCAAAACCTATGAAAATAGGTAAGCCTTCCAGCATGTCCAAAAGGTCAACTGATTTCAGTCATTTCAGGTTAGGATGGAATAAGTTTCAAAGTAGCAGGCCCTTCAAGAATGCTTTGTCGACACTACCCTTCTCCACCCCTTCCTTTTTTAAACTAACTGTGTTGTAGCCCAAAAGCCACTTCTGGTTTTAAGTATCTCATGTGGCTACACCCTCTCATTGGCAGGTTCCAGACCATTCAGAGCTTAGAGCTATCAAATGCTGTCAGTTAGAGACACCACTTAACTAGCAGGCAGGCTGCCTTATTCTACCTTAGCTTTAGTACAAATTTCAAATGTAGACTAGGCAATGTGTGACTGTGAACCAGAAGTATACACGTTTTTTCTGTAGCAAAGAAGAGACTTGAACTAGGCTTCACAGTCTTCCAGGTCAGCACTTTGACCACTAGACAGTGAATTAATTCAAGAGGTCTGACTAGTTGATCAGAATGGTAGATGCACAGATTATTAATGACCAGTGCTTTGAGCCACCTTAAATCCAAGTAGCACTGATATCAATAGCAGTGAGTATACCACATTGTGGACTTCAGAGAGGGCTAGTGAGCAGAGTGTGTACCCAAGGTCAATGTCTGCATTCTATTTGTTGCAATGATACCAGTGTTGTGCCATCTTTACAGTTATTGTTCGATTTAGGCTTGCTAGAACAGGCCAGCCCATTTGTTGTGTAGGCGTATCCTTCATTTCCAAATGAATGACTGCTTTAGCACTCGTGTGTTGTCATCTTTTAATACTTCATTTCTTCTAAGATGTTTTCTGGCAACCAAATTTGTTTCCATGCTTCACACAAGTTTTTGGCAGATTTACTTATTCTAAGCTGCAGTATTACTTGCGTGCTGACCTAATGGGTTATTTGTTTTTGAAAATCATATACGAGTGTTGTTTTTGGTGGGGAGGGGACCTTTGGACACACAAATCACATGAACTTCAAGTAGGAAGATTGATTTATGTTTTCCGTAATCTTAGCAGTGATTCTAAGTTATTTTGCTTCCAAGTGACCTTTTGAAATGATCAGAAGTTGCTTCATGGCATATAAAACAAGTTAATGTGAGATCCAACTACAACTTACAATTCTTCTAGAGCTGCCAAGTTAAATGATACAATACAAAATGTAAACACTTTGGTTCATGTAAAACAATTTTATCTTAAGTCAGAAAATATGGTTAGGCATATCTATAGAAAACAAACTAGTTCTAATGCTTTAGACCTGACTTTGAATGTTTTTTTGATTGGCAGATCTTTAATAATTATCAGCACTTTGGATGGACGAATTGCTGCTCTAGATCCTGAAAATAGTGGCAGAAAGCAGTGGGATCTTGATGTGGGATCTGGTTCCCTTGTATCATCCAGCCTCAGTAAACCAGAGGTAAGACTTTATATCTGCTCCTTGATTTTTGATTCTTAGCTTTGTCTGCACTAGACTTTTTTTTTCCAAGATAACCCAATGTTTGCTACCCCAGCGGTAACTCTACCATGGCAACAGTGGGGATTTTTAAAGGAGGGAGAAATTTAATATAGACACAGCCTTTCAGATATATTGTCTGGCTTGATAGCTATAATATCTATAGGTTGTTAGGAATTGTTTGCAGTCATCAGTTATGTAGAGTTAAAAATGGCCCATGGATATGCTTAAAAATAAAAATGTAATTTTGCTCACTGTAACAAATGATGAAACCCCCCCCCCCTTTTTTTTTTTTGGAGAGTCAGTAGAGGAAGTCTTTTGTTCTCTAAAACACCATGTTATCTTTTGTTCCTATGCTAAATAACAGTTCTGTTCTGTGGGTGGAATGGCCTAGCAATAACATGGAGCATTAAAAGTGACCTGCAGATGAAGGGAAGGACTTTTACGCTCTCTTGCTGTTTTAATATAAGTTCAGTGATGACAAACTACAGTAATGCATAGTAAAGTTGCTTGGTGCTGTTAACCCCTTGCAGACATATAATACAAAGTGAGTGTGTGTCATATGCATGTTGAGGCATTGCTTGTAGAGGAGAGAGGGAATATGGTTTGGGCAACCTTTGTTTTTTATTTTGTTCTTTAATAATGTTAAATGGAGTCTGAATTACCCTGACATGGATAAAGTAGGCTTTTCTGTATTGGTGCATGTGTGCGATAATTCTTCTAGACTGCACATCTGCACAAAATGAACATGTTCTTAAACACCATTCACAGTCTGGGTCTTCCAAAGACTTAATAGGTGTACTGTGCTATCTTGAATAAACCCTGACTAATTTGGACCTACAGCACAGCAAGTTTAATCTCTAACTCCACAGAGGGGAAAGAACCCACCATCACTACCACATTTAGAAGTTTTTTGCTAAATGGCTATTTTTTGTGGTGGGGGAGGGTGAGTTTATATCGTCAGATCCCTAACCCAAATGTAGGTCATTGACCCTATGCTGCATTCCAATGAAGTACAGTACTGCAAATTTCAAGAAAATACATGCAGATTTTAGAACACTTAGAAGCATCATCCTTTAAATAGGAAGGATAGAGAAATGATGGAGGGAAAGTGCTCCTCTATAAGGCTTTGAACGTGAAGAGGCCCATCCATCAAAATGGGATGTTCTTAGCTGAATCTTGGCTCTACACTAGGAAATTATTGAAAAATCCATATTTCTGAATGACCTCATTGTACCAACATAACACTTGAGGCAAACAGTGCTCAGAAGAATTCTGTCAACCTAGCTCCCATTGGGGAGATGGAGTCCATACACTGACAGGAGACAGTGTCCTTTTGGCTTCTGTAGTGTCACAGCATTTTAAGTGTAGAAAGACCGTTTATAATCTATACTTAAATTTCCAAAAAGCCTTTGACAAGGTCCCTCACCAAAGCCACTTAAGTAAAATAAGTTATCATGGGATAAGAAGGTAGGTCCTTTCATGGATTGATAACTGGTTAAAAGACAGGAAACAAAGGGTAGGAAAAAATGGTAAGTTTTCCAAGTGGAGAGAGATAACTAGTGGGGTCCCCCAAGGGTCTGTCCTGGGATCAATCCTATTCAACATATTTATAAATGATCTAGAGAAAGGGGTAAACAGTGAGGTGGCAAAATTTGCAGATGATACCAAACTGCTCAAGATAGGTAAGACCAAGGCAGACTGTGAAGAGCTTCAAAAAGATTTCACCAAGCTATGTGATTGGGCAACAAAATGGCAAATGAAATTTCATGTTGATAAACGTAAAGTAATGCACATTGGAAAAAATAATCCCAACTATGTGTATAAAATGACGGGGTCTAAATTAGCTGTTACCACTTAAGACAGAGATTTTGGAATCATTGTGGATAGTTCTCTGAAAACATCTACTCAGTGTACAGCAGCAGTCAAAAAAGCAAATAGAATGTTAGGAATCATTAATTTCTGTCTTATTCTCTATCCCTTTTTTATCTTATTCTCTCTCTCATATATATATATAATATAAAAATAGTATGCCCACATCTTGAATACTGCATGCAGATGTGGTCGCCTCCTCTCAAAAAAGATATCTTGGCATTGGAAAAGGTTCAGAAAAGGGCAACAAAAATGATTAAGGGTTTGAAACGGGTCCCATATTAAGAGAGATTAAAAAGACTTGGACTTTTCATCTTAGAAAAGAGGAATCTAAGGAGGGATATGATAGAGGTCTATAAAATCATTACTGGTGTGGAAAAAGTGAATAAGGAAAAGTTATTTCCTTATTCCCACAATTTAAGAATTATGGTTCACCAAATTTAATTGATAGGCAGCAGGTTTAAAACAAACAAAAGGAAGTTTTTCTTCACTGAACGCACAGTCAACTTCTGGAACTATTTTCCAGAGGATGCGGTGAAGGCTAGAACTTTTAACAGGGTTCAAAAAAGAGTTAGATAGGTCCAGCACGCTATTAGCCAGGATGGGTAGGAATAGTGTCCCTAGTCTCTGTTCCTCTGGAGGTGGGTGACGGGGGGGATCATGTAAGGATTACCTGTTGCGTTCCCTCCCTCTGGGGCATCTGGTATTGGCCACTGTCGGCAGACAGGATACTGGGCTGGATGGACCGTTGGTCTGTTCTAGGATAGCCGTTCTTATAAGACCACCTTATGGAGAAATACAACTGGAAACAATAGTCCTGACACATTTGAACTGCTCCATTCATGTCAGTGGATGTTCTCCTCCACTTCTTCCTCAGAATACTTTTGAGACAGGATTGCATGAAGTATGCTCATTTTCAGTTACATTCAGAGAGTGAGAACTTGTCCAGATTCTAGCTCACATTGCAGGCAGGGAGGCAGTCTCTCCCCAAAAAGGCAAGCTGCCCCAAACATGGTGATTATGATGATGGTAGGTGTGGGGTCCAAAGTGGGGAAGTTAGCGTGCACTCATTACGTGATTCACTGATAAACCTGGGCTTATTGGTTAATCCTAATGGTTACACACTCCCCTGCTCCCTCTGTATTGGTTGGGAGCCGGTAAACACAGGAAGCCAGCTTTGCTTTCCTGCTCCTCTTCTCCCCCCCCCCCCCACACACACATTGCTGCCTCTCTATCAGAGGCAGAGGGGAACAGGGGGGCAGGCGGGAGCCAGTGCTCGCAAGTAGTTGGCTTAAAAGCCAGTTTTCCCATGAGCACCAGCTCCCCCCTACCCCCCTGAATGTAAATGTGTAACCGCTAAAAATTTTGCAGATGCACC